CCCTATTTTTCCCTCCAGACAGCTCATGCTTGTTTAGTGCCTCCCTTTGGCCAAACCCAACTGGAAACAAGAGGGCAAAGGGGCCCATTGTTGCAGTTTATAGAGGTCAGCCTCAGGGGAACAGAGCAGAGTGAAAAGGCTGCACAATGGATCTGGAGGGGCGAAGGAAGAATATCCAGTCATACTTACCTTTAGCAACACTAACTTTAAATTAATAATAATGCCTCCAACAATAAAATAATTTTGAACTTGTGATCCTTCAGAAACAAGCCAGAATTAGGTTGAACTTCATTCTATTAGAACAGAGAGAGGGGTACTCTATAATTGAATAGAATAAATAAAATTGCTTTGAGGTAGGATGGTGTCACTGAACCTTCTTGATATAAAGATATGAAAGCCCTTTGAGGGTAGGTGCATGCAAATAATTGACTTGAAATTTTAAATAACTATTATCCACTTTTTGAAAAGCAAACATGCTTACAAAGGCCTGTTAGTCTTACTTTGGCTGTCTAGAAATCGATGGAATTCATCTTGCTTTTAGAATATTTTTTGAATGCACTTTTTACTACCCAGTTGGCTTCCATAAACCCAATCTGACTGGCAGGGCTTACTGCAGTCACATGTTTGTCTCTGGTGTGTCCTTTATGGACATGACAACAGCCATTACATAAGCAAACCATAGAGGGTCTGATTTCTCACTTGATCTTGTATATTATTTCTTTTCCTTTGTATTAGCTCTCCTGCACCTGTGTTTGAGTTAACTCTTGGCTCTGAGGATGTTTGGGGGATGATTAGAATATTTAAAAAGCAGTGAGTAAACAGATCTCATAATTAGTTGATTGCCTGTGTAAGCCAGACAGGAGAGGTTGCTGTATTGTTACAGGAGCTCCAAGGAAGCACCCTTTTGAAAACCTAATAAAACTTCCATCTCTTTCAGGTCTGACCTGGTCATTTGGCATCAGGACAAAGTGCTTCCTCTGGAACCTTTGTTGGATGTATTTTGTTTTGAATGAGCAAGCATTAAGCTGGTGGATTTAGGCCCTGAGAGAACATTGGACAGGATTGATGAGGTGGTGTTTTATTTTTGTCTATTGGGGTTGAACCTCATGCTCTCACCAGCCAGAATAGCAAGGAGGAGAAAGAAATGATGAGAAGAGTGTCAGAGCAAGTTCCTCTTTGAACCCTGCCACAAAGAGGCAGGGTAAAGAGAGAAGGCCAGAGAGAGAGCCAGAAATGTAAAACAGATGGAGGAAATGGAACAAACAGTTTTGTTTATTCCTCGATATTTTCCCATCACCATCTTTAAGTCTCTTCTGGTGCTCCTATTGCTTCCTGAACTTCCCCTGGCACAGTACGAACAGCATATACTGTGGTTGCTTAATCTCCCATCGTCTCCTTCTAGACCAGCACTTCCAATAGTACTTTCTGAAAGGATGGAAATGTTCTACATCTGCATGTGGCTATTGAGTACTAGTGTGACTGAGGGACTGAAATTGTCATGTTAGTTAACTTAAACAGTCACATGTGGCTAACTGTGACCATATTGGACTTCAGAGCTCTAGACTATAAACTTTGTAATGGTAGGGACCACATAGGTAATCATTATGTGCCTGAATAATAGTAGGCATTCAAAAAATATTTGTTGAAGGAATGATTGAAGGAAGGAAGGAAAGAAGGGAAGGAGAGAAGGAAGAAGGAGGGAGAGAGGAAGGGAGAGGGGAGGGAGGAGAGGGGAGGGATACAGAGTGGGAGGGAGCAAGGATAGAGCAATTTCACAAGGAGCAGTATGTGTGGCTGGGAATTAGTGTTACAGAACACAAAGAGTTTGTCCACCAGGCTAGCAGAGCCAAATAGCAGGTACCAAGAATTGCAGTGGAGAAACATTGGCTATTTTATTGATAAACTAGAGGCCTGGTGCTGGGGTCCAATCCCAGCGGGTCCAGGGGTCCCCAAAGGTGTGGACGGAGTCGGTGAAGAAGGAATGACACGAAGACAGCCTTCAGTTGATCAGCAGCCTAGTCAGGACCTCTAGCCAGGATCTCCAGCCAAAGTTCTGGTTAGGAACTGATCAGGATCTGATGTTTATTGTCTTGTTACATCTGTATTTATACCAGCCGATTTTAATCCTGTCAATTTCTATTACAAAGGTTAGGGCGTTTCTTATCTCCATTCCAGGGAGTAAAGATTATGTAGCTTAACTACCCGCCTGGCACTTAATTAAGGGGTTGTATCCCCTCCCTAACCTCAGGGAAAAATCCCCACCTGGGGAAACAACCTTTCTCGGAGAGGTGACCTTGGTTAAAACACATGGCGCTAAAGAGAGCAAACATATTAAGAACAATATGCTATATATGCCAGGTCCCTTGAAACATATGCTGTGCAGATGTTTCTTTCCTGTAGCGACTGTGTCAAGCAGCAAGGATGGACCGGCTCCCGGCAGCCTGGTGCACGAGATTCATGCACTGGGGGGCAGGGGGTGTCCCTCAGCCCGACCTGTGCACTCTCGCAGTCCGGGGCTCTTGCAGCCTGGGACCCCACGCTCCTTATCACTTGCCTGCAACAGAGGTGGGAGAGGCTCCTGCCACCGCTGCTGCGCTCGCCAGCCGTGAGCCCAGCTTTTGGCTGAGCGGTGCTCCCCCTGTGGGAGTGCACTGACCACCAGTGGGCAGCTCCTGGGTTGAGCGTCTGCCCCCTGGTGGTCAATGTGCATCATAGCGACTGGTTGTTCCGCTGTTTGGTCAATTTGCATATTAAGGTTTTATTATATAGGATGGCACTGCCCAGGAGAACGGGAAGCTAATGCTTAAAAGCCCAAATTCCCAGATAGTGTGTAGATTATAGAGTATATAGGGCAAACTCAGAAGACATTGTGGGTTAAGGGTTTGAGGTTGTTTTGGAGCTTATTGGTCAGAGGTGAGGTGAAGGTAATGGATCATTTCTTCAGGTCTTGATACAGCTCTGAGGTCTTTTCCTACGTACCTCTGTCTAGTCTTAGGGGTCATTCCACCTTAGGGCTCAGGAGCTGAAACATAACTTAGGTCAAGATGTTGTCTTTAGCCAGGGTTCTGGACTGTGACACCATTAGTCAGGTCCTGGCTACTGTCTTCTGCTGCCTCGAGGGTTGCTGATTATCTGGGGGAAAGACTAGGCCTCTAGGGATATATATACAGAGAGAGAAAGTTATTATTTCTAGAGCTAGGATTTTAAAACTAAATGTAATCAAAGTTATAAGGACCCTCGGTTTCATTAAAAGCATGGTGAGCACTGGGGCCATGTGCTTCTGGGTCAGAGAAGTTATTTTCTGCTTTATAACAATAACTTGGGTGCACTAAATCAGACTGGAGATTTTGGAGGCCTGAACTTCAGCTTAAAAATTTGTTAACCCTCTTTCTCCAGGGTATCCATTCTATTTTTGTTAATGACTTTAAAAAAGATTTTATTAATGTAATCTATAGGACTAACAAACAGTTTTAAAGGAAAATATAACATATTGAAGGAAGAGGAAATCTAAAAAACCAAATGGAATTTTGAGTATTAAAAAATGTCAGTATCTGAAATGAAATTTTTGTTGGATTAACAGAAGATTAGATACTGCAGGAGAAAGGACGAGTGGCTTTGAAAACACAGAAATGGGAGCTATCAAAGTGAATCAGAGGAAAAAGACTGCAAATAGTACAGTGACATATGGAACAATACCAAGCTAACAAGCTAACATCAAGTCACAAAAGAGAAAAACAGAAAATATTTGAAGAAATGAGAGTAGAATTTTTCACATTTGATTTTTAACAAAATTTCTAGTTGTTTCAACAATACAGTGTTAAACACTGTAAAGCACATATCCAAGTTCCACAAAACCTGAGCAACATTAGCACACCCACAAAAATCTACAATGGCATTCTATTTTCTCAGTTTTCAGACTATGATACAGATGAGTGCTCTTAAGAAGCACTGTAGCCCAGCTGGTATGGCTAAATGGGTTGAGGTCACCTGTTCATTCCTGGTCAGGGCACATGCCCGGGGTGTGGGCGTACAGGAGGCAGCCGATCAATGTTTCTCTCTCTAAAAATCAATAAAAACGTATTTTAAAAGAAAAGAAGCATATAGTCTAGAACTGTGAGGGGATGTTAAAAGTCATTCTCAGCAGTTTGGTAGCTTGGACAGGGTGTCCCATGAGAAGATCAAACTTTTGGGATGTGGTGGTGGCAGTGCCTCTCATAAGCTGTGTGACATTAACCTCTTAACCTCCCAGCATGTCAGTGGGACCTGTGTAAGAGCGTAGTGTTAAACGAGCTCATTTCTCAGCTTCTTTCTAGAGTTGGTATTATAAATATGTATCGGAGCACATGTTGGTCTTTTAAAAAACGGAGCCATTTATTATGACTTTTCTTATAAAATGCATTTGTTTAAGTTGTCTGCACATCGGTATGAAGGATTTTCCTGTCTGATACAGTTTCAGGTGGGTATTACAAACTCACAAACTGAGGAAGGTACAATTACTTGAAAAAAAAAAAAAGAATTTGTGATGGCCCAAACTTGAAGTAGCATTTCTTTTCTAAACGGCAGCCAAAACTATTTTAGAAGCAATGGCTTGTCTGTGTAAATAAACACTGACTCATTTAGGTTATTGTGACTGCTGAACTCAATATTTACAATGCTAAATTTACAGGCATTCATTACTAATGTGTAGCCTCAAAAGGAGTATGCGTCACTTATATAATCTCTTTAAAAAGACAAAATTTCTCTTATTAAAAGATAAGAAAATGTACTAGTTAAATTTCATGATCAAAACAATACATTTTTAAACCTTGAAAGTAATATATACACAATGAAAATTTGGGCATGAGAGAAAAGAGGAGAAAATTTCACCAATAATTTCACCTCACTGTTACCACTATGGTTAGTATTTTGGTATATTATTTCAGTGCATGTTCCTTTTCTATGTCATGATTTTAACTATGTAATATAAATGATAGGTATATGTCACTTACATTTTTTTTTTTACAACTCACACCACCGATTGAAGCAAAGCAACACAACACGCTGCCGCTTCACCCAAAAGCGGTGTTTTTCCTTTGCCCTTTCTTGACGGCTCAGTGGGTCATCAGCAAAATGTCACTTACATTTTTAATGATAAATTATAGAATGTCGGACCTCCAGAAAAATATAGAATATAACATAGCATACATCAGATATTTACCACCCATACTTCAGAGACATATTTGTTTCAGATTTCTTTCTTGTTTCAGATTAAAATATATATTTGTATCTATTTCAGAGAGGAAGGGAAAGGGAAAAAGAAACATCAATTATGAGAAAGAATCATTGATTGGCTACCTCCTGCAGACCCCCAACTGGGGATTGAGCCCACAACCCGGGCATGTGCCCTTGACCAGAATCAAACCCAGGACCCTTCAGTTCACAGGCCGATGCTCTATCCCCTGAGCTAAACTGGCTAGGGCAGATCATTTTGTTTTTAAATAATGAGATATTGTGGATACAGCACCAAACTCACCCTATTTCTTCCTTCTCTTTCCCTCCTGGAATTGTTCTCTGTTTTCATTCATGATTTCCTATAAATGTATGATTCTACAAACAATTCACAGCATTGTTTTATGGGGTTAACATGTGCAGGTTATCATCTACAACTTGCATTTTTCTTTCATTATAAAGTTTTTGAAATATCTCCATGTCGGTACATATACAGCAGTTTGTCTAGTAACTGTTTTATGGCATTTCATTTAGGAATAGTCCCAATTATATGACCGATTTGCCTGTGATATGTTAGGTGCTTCCATAATTTTTACTATTCTGACAATTTAGTAATGAACATCCTTTACACATTTCTTTGTGAATGCATGTGATAATTTTTTAGGGTTGATGTTTAGATTGTGTGGTAAGAACATCTTCAAATGTATTAGGCACTTCCAAATTACTCTCCCAAGTAATGAAACTAATTTATACACCAGTTTTATTTTACCTTATTTTCACCAACAATTGTTAATTTCAGACTTTCAAAGTTGGTTAATTTTATAGGTATAAAGTAGTATCTAATCATTGTTTTAGTTTGTATTTCACTATTTTACTGATTTTTAGTGAGATTGAAGACTCCTCATATTTATAATGATTGGATTTTTTCTGTGAAATGTCTCCAGCCAAATCCTTTGTGCTTGGTTACTTTTCTTTTCCTTATTGAAGAGATCTTCAGGCCAATTTATTGTAATTTTATGAATAATGTATATTTATTATAATAATTTTATCTACTATCTATTTAGGTGAGTTTTGTTCATGTTTAGAGATAATTTATTAACATAAACATGATAAAAATGTCCCCAAAGCCTTAATCCTACAGTGACTGGAAGATCATATTTCCTAGGTATGAAATTTAAACTGTGAAAAGTACATTAAAAAAAAAAAAGAATTCAAGGAAGAACCTGCACAGCTATTAAAGCATTAGAAACCTTCCCATGTGTGACTGTAAAAGGCCCACTGATGTCGCTATTTTACCTCCCTAGAATTATTTTCCCACCTAGAAACAGTACAGATAATTAAAAAAATTTTTTTCACTAATATATTTTTTCTTTGGCTTGAGGTTCTTTTCAAGTCCACAGACGATAAAAATCTAACTTCGAGAGAAGTATAGGAAGTGGTGCATTCTTATATGGAAAATAAAATCATCTTATCGATTAGGCAGTTTATAAAGGTATGTTTGTGATTAAAGACCTTTTATATCTTGCAGATATTTGAAAACCTAAGTTCATTACCTCTGGTTACATCTAATCGTCCTTCTTGCAATCTCTTCTCCCACTCTGTTCACAGGTACTTTTCCTCTCACAGCTCATAATAAACACTCTCCTGCTTAGTTCCAGGGAGTCAGGGCTGAGTGGTAGATAGAAGCCATGTTATATTGACACACAAGATGCTTAGAGTTTTTCAAATCATTTAGATCTGGAGTAAATTCTCACCCTGTCACTTTCTGTCTAAGCTTCTTGTTACTAACCTCGTACGTTCTGTTTCTCTGTCCATGAAATGATGGTATGAGAATTAGTGTAATCATCCTCCAGCTCAAGTTCAGGGTCTGTCATGAGCCAGCCACTATATTAGCAATGTTGCGTAAGGTGTCTTATTTAATTAGTGCTCCTAGAGCAGCGGTTCTCAACCTGTGGGTCGCGACCCCTTTGGGGGTCGAACGACCCTTTCACAGGGGTCGCCTAAGACCATCGGAAAACACATATATAATTACATATTGTTTTTGTGATTAATCACTATGCTTTAATTATGTTCAATTTATAACAATGAAATTGGGGGTCACCACAACATGAGGAACTGTATTAAAGGGTCGCGGCATTAGGAAGTTTGAGAACCACTGACCTAGAGCAATCAATAAGGAATAGGGAAGGATTTTAGTGGTGATAGCCATGGAGACTTGGTGATAGCCAAGAAGACTTGGAAACCGAAAGGGATGCTGAGGTGGGCAAGCAACCCCAAAGAAATTCCATGATGAAAAGTGAAGCCAAACACTTTTGCAGAGGCAAAAAGCTCCCTCTACTTCTGTAATCCTTAAGGCACAGTCACGGTTCTGAGAAAGGTATGGGGCTCCAAAAAGTTACTTATAGTTTAAATATCACCAAGGGTAGCATTGTGGTTTGCTTGAAGGAGTTAAACACTTCTTAATGGGAAGAAAATGCTTTTCTGGAACTGGTCATCCCGCAATAATGGTGGGTAATTGAGGCTTCATTATGCAGAAAGATTTCAACTGTTTTCAGCTTTCAAGGAGGGCATTGTTCACAGCAGCTGAGTGTTCCAAAGAGTTTAGGGTTTAATACCTTCAAGCATAAACACCTCTTTAAAAAATTTACCCATTGTATACGGAGTCATTCTAAAATATACATTTTGTTACTCTGCCTTTGTAAGCAAAACATACTTAGGTAACTTAATCTTTTTTTCCCCTGAACCAGAGAGTCATTATCCATTTTCGTTTTTATATCATGTCATAATATAGTGTGCTCTTGGGATCTATTAACGCGTAGCTGTCTGTTTACACTAGTCTGTTTGAATCTCGGGTCTGCCTTTAACGTTTTATTGTTTTCTCTCTTGCTTTTATTTGTCTTCTGATGTGCTGTCAAACATATTACAAATATTTATAAAGTAAAAGTAATTAGGCTCTGAGGAATGGCCCAAGGAGCTCTCCTTATAGTTCAAACAATTTCTCTCAAAATGTGTTGACTGCCTAATATGTGACAGGTACGTGCAAAGTGCTCAGGATACAAAGATAAATAAAGTTTCTTCTCCCAAAGATCCCACATGCTGGTGAATTATAAACTTTCCTGTGGCTCCTAGGACTGGGAATTCTTCCGTAAACTCCGAGACACCTGCTTTCATTGTTTGTCAGGCTTTCTTTCTAAATTTTCTATTCTCAGCTGCATTTCTGCTACTTGAAGTTGGTGAATATATGAACTTCTAAGACTTGGCAAGTGCCTTTTACATATGAATGGCCCTTGCCTAATAGGATGAGCAGAGAAAATACTGAGAGGGGTTGGTAGCCACATCGGGTTTGAAAGACTCCACAAAGCTTTCTACTGGCAAGGTGTTTCAACAGTCCACTTCCATGATAGAGATTTTTGAACAAAATGGTTTTGTGAAATTGAACTTCAAAGTCTACCTTCTGTTCCAGAAAAAGATATAGTGGACAATGTTATTTGGCAATTAAATAGATGTAGGCACACTGTGAAACAGAGGAGGAGCAGGGCAACTGGCAAGGTGAGATGGAGGGGAGGGGCTCAATGTGCACCTGGAAACAGACATGGGGCCGGGAGTTTGACACTGACGAGTGGATGGTTGTAGCACCACCTATGTTTGCGGACTGAGTTCATTTCCGTATATGAAACGGGAGGTGGCATCACTGTTCCTTTGTCATAAAAAGGTCTCCAGAGCCAGGATTAGTGCTTATTGCATCTCAGGTTTATGTAAAGCTGCTGGAAAGAGACATCCCTGCAACCATGGTGAGGCCAAGACTTTTGGTGGTTCCCAAAATGCATCCTTTTGAAGGATGAGTCCTCAGCTGCCAATAGAAGACTTGATTTTGGATCTACCAGTCCTGGGAGACTGGAGGTGGCAAAGTCAAAACCATGAGCCAGAGAGAGGGAAGCAAATCTCCTCTAAGATCACCAACTCCTCCTGGTTTTACTGGGGCTTTTTTCATTTTTAGCACGGAAATTCCCATGCTCCAGAAACACCATCAGTCGTGGGAATATTAGGACGATCAGTAACCCTATCTACCCTCACCTTTTAATAAACCTGAAAACTACAATTCTAAAGCACATGAGGATAACTAGTACCAAAATGATAGCCAACAAAATCAACAATCAACATACAAATAAACTCCTGATAAAATGCAAAATGACTCTATAATAAGTAAGTGAGAGGAAAAAACCCCTGCAAAATTACTAGTATAAAACAAAAATGGTCAGCTATGTATTGAGGCAGGTGGATATGGAGAAAATGTTAGAAATACTAGATATGGAAGAAGTGTATAGTCACTGAAACTTTAAAAATGTCTAGCTGATTACTCACAGAAAAAGCAGAATTTGTAATTGGATGATGTTACTAAGGAATTCACTCATAATGTTTCACCGACTGATCCAGACAATAAACTCTAGAAAGAAAGATTAGGGCCACAG